AAATAGCTGTTAAATAGTAGAATGCAAATGTCTATGTTCTCTTTTTAATAAAGTAAATTCCACAAACCGAGAACACAAAGAAAGCTGACAAATTAATCTAATCCGTGAGAATAAGCAGGAGGCTACAACCACAGAATAAAAAGACTGAACCAGGAAGGGGGGGGGGGGGGGGGGGCTGTGACAGACACAGGAAATGTAAAAGGAAAGAGTAGCCTGATTCTGCTGAGCATATATTTTGAATTATTGCACTGCTTACTGTAAAGTGGTATCACACACTAAAGCAACAATTTATTATATTGCAATTGACCATTTCTTAGATGTGATGGTTGCATTAGTTTTCTAAGGCGCACATGGAAAGGAGATGCAAACAACAAAAAAGAAAAATTCCCAGCTCAATTTACCAACCAACCTGCAACCAACCAAATGTCCTGTTTATCAGTTTGCGTATCATTTTCCTTCCACTTCACAATTATGTGCCACTTTGTGTTGGTATATCACATAAAATCCCAATAAAATACATTTACGTTTTTGGTTGTAACATGACAAAATGTGGAAAATTGCAAGGGGTATGAATACTTTTTCAAGGCACTGTATCAGTGCCCGTCGGTGCTGCCTATCAGTGCCCACCAGTGCTGCATATCAGTGCCCATCAGTGCCGTCTATCAGTGCCCATCAGTGCTGCCTATCAGGCTAGGTATCTACTCTTATTATTCAGGAGTGCAGAGTTCACGAGTATGTTACATACAGGGTGCAGGGTTTAGGGGTGCGTTGTGTACAAAGTGCAAGGTTTAAGGGTGCACTATGTACAAAGTGCAGAGTTTAGGGTTGCGTTATGTATAGAGTGCAGAGTTTAGGGGTGCGTTATGTATAGAGTGCAGAGTTTAGGGTTGCGTTATGTATAGAGTGCAGAGTTTAGGGTTGCGTTACGTATAGAGTACAGAGTTTAGGGTTGCGTTGTGTATAGAGTGCAGAGTTTAGGGTTGCGTTGTGTATAGAGTGCAGAGTTTAGGGTTGCGTTGTGTATAGAGTGCAGAGTTTAGGGTTGCGTTGTGTATAGAGTGCAGAGTTTAGGGTTGCGTTGTGTATAGAGTGCAGAGTTTAGGGTTGCGTTGTGTATAGAGTGCAGAGTTTAGGGTTGCGTTGTGTATAGAGTGCAGAGTTTAGGGTTGCGTTATGTATAGAGTGCAGAGTTTAGGGTTGCGTTATGTATAGTGTGCAGGTTTTTAAGGGTGCACTTTGTATAGAGTGCAGAGTTTAGGGTTGCGTTATGTATAGAGTGCAGAGTTTAAGGGTTGCGTTATGTATAGAGTGCAGAGTTTAGGGTTGCGTTATGTATAGAGTGCAGAGTTTAGGGTTGCGTTATGTATAGAGTGCAGAGTTTAGGGTTGCGTTATGTATAGACTGCAGAGTTTAGGGTTGCGTTATGTATAGAGTGCAGAGTTTAGGGTTGCGTTATGTATAGAGTGCAGAGTTTAGGGGTGCGTTATGTATAGAGTGCAGAGTTTAGGGTTGCGTTATGTATAGAGTGCAGAGTTTAGGGTTGCGTTATGTATAGAGTGCAGAGTTTAGGGTTGTGTTATGTATAGAGTGCAGAGTTTAGGGGTGCGTTATGTATAGAGTGCAGAGTTTAGGGTTGCGTTATGTATACAGTGCAGAGTTTAGGGTTGCGTTATGTATAGAGTGCAGAGTTTAGGGTTGCGTTATGTATACAGTGCAGAGTTTAGGGTTGCGTTATGTATAGAGTGCAGAGTTTAGGGTTGCGTTATGTATAGAGTGCAGAGTTTAGGGTTGCGTTATGTATAGAGTGCAGAGTTTAGGGGTGCGTTATGTATAGAGTGCAGAGTTTAGGGTTGCGTTATGTATAGAGTGCAGAGTTTAGGGTTGCGTTATGTATAGAGTGCAGAGTTTAGGGTTGCGTTATGTATAGAGTGCAGAGTTTAGGGTGTGCGTTTATGTATAGAGTGCAGAGTTTAGGGGTGCGATATGTATAGAGTGCAGAGTTTAGGGTTGCGTTATGTATACAGTGCAGAGTTTAGGGTTGCGTTATGTATAGAGTGCAGAGTTTAGGGGTGCGTTATGTATACAGTGCAGAGTTTTGGGTTGCGTTATGTATACAGTGCAGAGTTTAGGGTTGCGTTATGTATACAGTGCAGAGTTTAGGGTTGCGTTATGTATACAGTTCAGAGTTTAGGGTTGCGTTATGTATAGAGTGCAGAGTTTAGGGGTGCGATATGTATGGAGTGCAGAGTTTAGGGGTGCACTATGTATAGAGTGCAGAGTTTAGGGGTGCGTTATGTATAGAGTTTTGAGGTGCGCTATGTATAGAGTGCAGAGTTTAGGGGTGCGCTATGTATAGAATTCAGAGTTTAGGGGTGGTGTGCTATGTATAGAGTGCAGAGTTTAGGGGTGCGTTATGTATAGAGTTTTGGGGTGCGCTATGTATAGAGTGCAGAGTTTAGGGGTGCGCTATATATAGAGTGCAGAGTTTAGGGGTGTGCTATGTATAGAGTGCAGAGTTTAGGGGTGTGCTATGAACATATGCGCAATATGCAACACGAACCCCCCTCCCCCAAAGCTTCCTTGAATCTCTACTCTCTCCTACCTCTCCCTATGTAGGCAGCTCTCTCTACTACTCGTATATTTGGCTCTGTTATATACCTCCCTGTGTAGGTGACACTGCTTGGCAGGGAGACTGTTCTCACTCTCAGATTCTGGAGATCTGTCCCCACCATGAGAGATCTGTTACCTCCAGAAGCGACTGAGAGCAAAGCTGCCCCTGTAAACACAGAAGGCTTCTGTGTTTACAAATGACAGTGGGGAGCAGGAGGTGGCGGAATGGAGTTCCACGATCTGGCTGCAAAACTGGGTGAGGAAAACCACATGACAAGCCTGGCAGGCCGGATTTGGCCCGCAGGCCTTGTGTTTGACATATATGTCCTATGCTTTGCAGCCAAGGAAGCTGTCATCTTGGCCTCTGTTTAATCTGTAACTGCCATGGTACTGCACATGTGATCAGTTATGACACCAGACATTTGATGGTTTGACAGTTTTGTTGACAGCGCAAGCAAATATGAGTTACATTCCCAGCATGCCAGGAATGTAACTGTTTTCTGAAACCATTAAATCGATGGGTTTAGTTCTGCTTGAAATGGCTCCTGTCTAAAATGGCCCTAGTATGTGTATATATATGAATGTGAGTTAGGGACTTTGGATTGTAAGCTCCTTGAGGACAGGGACTGATGTGACTACAATATACAGGAGTTGGACAAAAGTATGGAAACACCAGGTAAAAGAACATAATTGTTACCTAATATGGTGTTGGACCACCTTTGGCATCCAAGAGGGTCTAAATTCCCCTGGGAGTTGACAAATATAAGTCTTGGATGGTGGATAATGGAATCTGATACCACTCTGCATGCAAAATTTGTTCCACTTTTCGCAGAGATGCCAGAGGCGGAAAAACGAGCATGAACCTTGTTCTCTGAAATTGACCATAGTAGCTCTGTGATATTGAAGTCCAGCGACTGCAGCACCCATGGAAGGTGCGAGACTTCATCTGCCTGCTCGTCATTTGATTTGACAACTCCAGCTGTCTGAACTGAAGCATTACCGTCTTGGTAGATGGAGCTGTGTTCAGGAAACAATGTCTGCACCATGGGGTGCACATGGTCGGCCACAATTTGTACATAGTCTCTGGAAGTGACTCTGTTGCCTTTCATGGTGATGATGGGGCCTGCAGAATACCAAGATATGGCTGTCTAAACCATGATGCGCCGCCATCATGCTTTACTATTGGCACAAGACAGTCCTGGTCGTATGCTTAGGATGGTGTTTGCCACACGTAAACAAGTCCCGTGGTTGGGAACAGTGTGACGCTCGATTCATTAGATCATATTACAGTCTTCAATTGATCGATAATCCACGATTCATGGGTGTTTCACCACTCTCTCCTCTTCTGAGCATTAATATCGTTCACTAGTGGTTTGGCAATTACAGCTCACCCATGAATGTTTTGCGTATGGAGTTCCCTTCACACAGTTTTTGTGGACACAGGTTTTGGAAGACTGAGATGGAGTTCTGCAGTCACTTTTGCACAGTTGGTTTCTCATTCTGGGTCACAATCCTGTGTAATGTCCAGTTGACCATGTTGACCATGCTTACGTTTATCAGACAATGTTTTCCTGGAAACTGTATATGCTGACATAACCTTTGATACTGGAGCTCACGACATGACAGATAAATTGGTAACAGACAAAAGCAATGTCCACATAGGTCCTAAAGAGTATCATCACACACACACATCCTAGAGTGTAATTGAGAGGGGGTCATAGTCATGTCTGGGCCCATACCAGATGGATGACCAGAGGAAAGAGCTCACTCACCGGTCCAGCCACGGCTGCCATACCCTGTCAAATTTCAGTGGGTAGTTCCTATTAATGTATGTCAACTTGTACATAGGAAGGATTTCATTAACAGCTTCCTCCCAAGAGTCAATGGAGAGAGGGGAGGATGCATTCTATTTGAGTATAATTTCCTTCTTGGCATAGTATAGTACAGTGGTCTCCAAACTGCGGCCCGGGGGCCGGATGTGACCCTTTGCTTGAGTTTCTCTGGTACTTGGGGCACTATTCCACCAACTGTCACCAATGATGGAGCACCATTCCCCCTACTGACACCATCAAGGAGGCATTATACTTCTCACTGATATCAACAATGGGGTACTATTCATCCCTTTAAAACCAATGATGTGGCACTGATGCCGGAGCTTTTCTACTCCCAGCGGCTACAGTCCGGCCCCCCCCTAAAGTCTGAAGGACAGTAAACTGGCCCTTTGCTTAGAAAGTTTGGAGACCCCTGGTATAGTAGATAAGAGATTTGGTATACTGCAGCCTTTGCTTTTCATCAGGGGCGGACTGACCATTTGGAAAATAGGGCACTGCCCGAGGGCCCGGGGTCAGTAGGGGGCCCCATCAGATGCCCCTAGTAACTTTTTCATAGGCTTTTTTAAGTTTGGGCAAGGACACAGGGGCCCCATGATCCCCTATTGCCCGGGGACCCCATGAGTTGTCAGTTCCGCCCCTGCTTATCATCCTGAATACCAAGCAATGCCAAGGCTGGAGAGATTGAAAGGATCAGCTGCAGGTGGAGATGGATGAGTTCACTGCCTCTCAGAACCTGGATACCCCTATTGAGGGTAGATTCTGTGCAACTTTTCAGGAGTATAATATACTCTGTGTAGGAATCTTGTCTGAATCAATTTATCCCTGGAGGAGTTAACCAGTCTCGAACTACAGGCATATCTCGGTTTTTTGAAGTTCTCCAGGATGTTTCGCATCATAAACCGAAACGCAGTTTGCCATAGGAATGCATTGAAAACCAATCAATCCGTTCTGGAGGTCAGAAAAAAGTAAAAAAAAAATTATTTTATCTGTCTAAAACTCTTTATAAAGTGCACTTTAAAGGCACGGGGCCGGCGCTATAAACCTCCCAGGCGCAATGCATCCTGGGGAAACTTACTTCGTATTATGAAACAAATTCGTAAACCGAGGCACTATTTGCAATGGATTTTCATTCGTAAACTGAAAATTACGATAGCGGAGGCGTTCGTAAACCAAGGCACGCCTGTATCCTCAAATAAATTGGCAACTTCCATCACAGAGGCACCAGCTAAATGGTACCAACAATTTGCCCTCTTTGAAACTCAGTAAGCTCTGACATGACTCTGTATTACTAGCAGCACACAGTGAATGACGGAAGTGAGGCTTCCCACCTGTTAGCTAGGTGTCTCATCACACAGTGGGAGCAAAAGAATGTTATATCACGCCCGCTTTCAGGGCTGATTCACACCATAGAAGTGCAGTCCAGATGCGTTCTGGATGCATTTCGCATGCGCCTTTTTGACGCATCCTGGTGCATTTTTGATTCCAGTTAATTTTTTCCCCTCTCTTTTTCTGCAATTTAAATAGGGACATGTGCATTTCAATGTGTTTTTGATGCATTTTACCACATTGCAATACAGTTCTGTGCAGGAAAAATGCAGCTTGTTCTACTTTTTTTCTGCAACCGGAATACACTGGAACTGCAAGCTCTGATGTGAACGATGACATTGACAACCATATTACCTACTTTCTGTGCGTTTTGGATGCAAAAAAAAGCACACTGAAACGCATGTAGTGTGAAGTGGCCCTCAGGGCCACTTCAGACCACAAAAAAGCACTCTGGCTCCGTTTTTGCTTACAGTTCACACCACACTCCGTTCCAGTGCTGTTTTGATGCAGTTTTCTGTGTTCCAGTATAGTTCTGTGCAGAAAAAATGCAGCCTGTTCTTTTTTTTTTCTGTACTGAAACACACTGGAACTGACTGCACTGGTGTGAACGAGGGCCATTGGAATACATGGAAAATGCTGTGCATGCATTTTCGATGCAGAAAAAAACCCACACTTGACTGTATCTAATGTGAACTAGCCCTTACAGCCAGTTCACACTATAGAAACTCAGTGCAGATGTGTTCTGGATGCGTTTCCACATGTGCATTTTTGATACGTTCCAGTACATTTTTTATGCATTCCAGTTCACTTTTTCCCCTCTCTTTTTCTTCAATTTTAATAGGGAAATTTTGTGTGTTTTTGGTGTGTTTCAGTGCGTTTTACCACATTCCAGTACAGTTCTGTGCAGAAAAAATGCAGCTTGTTCTGTTTTTTCTACAACCTGAACGCACTGGATCTGCAAGCACTGATGTGAACTATGACATTGACAACCATATAACATATTTTCTGTGCGTTTTGGATGCAGAAAAAAAGCAATTGAAACGCATGGAGTGTGAACTGGCCATCAGGGCCAGTTCACACCACAAAAACCCACTCCAGACACATTTTTGCTTACAGTTCACACCACACTTCATTCCAGTGCAATTTTAATGAAGTTTGCTATGTTCCAGTATAGTTCAGTACAGAAAAAATGCAGAATGTTCTACTCTTTTTTTTCTGCACTGGAAACTGATGGAACTGACTGCACTGGTGTGATCTAGGGACATTGGAATACATGGTAAACATTGTGCATGAATTTTTGATGCACAATAAAACGCACTGGACTCATCTAATATGAACTAGCCATTAGGGCCGGTTCACACTATAGAAACGCAGTCCAGATGCATTCCAGATTAATTTCCGAATGCCCGTTTTTGCCGCATTCCGGTGTGTTCTTGATGTGTTTTTTATTTGTTTCAGTGCATTTTTATGCATTCCAGTTCATTTTTTCCCCCTTTCTTTTTTTTCAATTTAAATAGGGACATGTGCTTTTCAATGTGTTCTTTATGCGTTTTACTGCTTTCCAGTACAGTTCTGTGCAGAAAATATGCAGCCTGTTCTACTTTTTTTTTCTGCACCGAAACACACTGGAACTGACTGCACTGGTGTAAACTAGGGTCATTAGAATACATGGAAAACACTGTGCATGCATTTTGATGCAGAAAAAAAACTGCACTTGACTGCATCTAATGTGGATTAGCCCTTAGGGTCAGTTCACACTATAGAAACACAGTTCAGATACGTTATGGATGCGTTTCCACATGCACATTTTTGACGCTTTCTGGTGCGTTGTTGTGTTTTTGACATGTTACAGTGCCTTTTTATGCATTCCAGTTCATGTTTTCCCCCTTTTTTCATAATTTTCAAGGGTGCCTCGGGACTGCCCATAATTTTCAAGGGTGTCTCGGGACTGCCCATAATTTTCAAGGGTACCTCGGGGCTGTTCATAATTTTCAAGGGTGTCTCGGGACTGTTTATAATTTTCAAGGGTGCCTCGGGGCTCATAATTTTCAAGGGTGCCTCGGGACTGTCCATAATTTTCAAGGGTGCCTTGGGGCTGCTCATAATTTTCAAGGGTGCCTCAAGACTGGCCATAATTTTCAAGGGTGCCTCGGGACTGCCCATAAATTTCAAGGGTGCCTCGGGGCTGTTCATAATTTTCAAGGGTGTCTCGGGACTGTTCATAATTTTCAAGGGTGTCTCGAGACTGTCCATAATTTTCAAGGGTGTCTCGGGACTGTTCATAATTTTCAAGGGTGCCTCGGGGCTGTCCATAATTTTTAAGGGTGTCTTGGGACTGTTCATAATTTTCAAGGGTGCCTCGGGGCTGTCCATAATTTTCAAGGGTGTATCGGGACTGTCCATAATTTTCAAGGGTGCCTCGGGGCTGTCCATAATTTTCAAGGGTGTCTCGGGACTGTCCATAATTTTTAAGGGTGCCTCGGGCTCTCCATAATTTTCAACGGTGTCTCGGGACTGCCCATAATTTTCAAGGGTGCCTCGGGACTGTTCACAATTTTCAAGGGTGTCTCGGGACTGTCCATAATTTTCAAGGGTGCCTCGGGGCTGTCCATAATTTTCAAGGGTGTCTCGGGACTGTCCATAATTTTCAAGGGTGCCTCGGGGCTGTCCATAATTTTCAAGGGTGTCTCGGGACTGTCCATAATTTTTAAGGGTGCCTCGGGCTCTCCATAATTTTCAACGGTGTCTCGGGGCTGTCCATAATTTTCAAGGGTGTCTCGGGACTGTCCATAATTTTTAAGGGTGCCTCGGGCTCTCCATAATTTTCAACGGTGTCTCGGGACTGCCCATAATTTTCAAGGGTGCCTCGGGACTGTTCACAATTTTCAAGGGTGTCTCGGGACTGTCCATAATTTTCAAGGGTGCCTCGGGGCTGTCCATAATTTTCAAGGGTGTCTCGGGACTGTCCATAATTTTCAAGGGTGCCTCGGGGCTGTCCATAATTTTCAAGGGTGTCTCGGGACTGTCCATAATTTTCAAGGGTGCCTCGGGGCTGTCCATAATTTTCAAGGGTGTCTCGGGACTGCCCATAATTTTCAAGGGTGCCTCGGGACTGTTCACAATTTTCAAGGGTGTCTCGGGACTGTTCATAATTTTCAAGGGTGTCTCGGGACTGTCCATAATTTTCAAGGGTGTCTCGGGACTGTTCACAATTTTCAAGGGTGTCTCGGGACTGTCCATAATTTTCAAGGGTGCCTCGGGGCTGTCCATAATTTTCAAGGGTGTCTCGGGACTGCCCATAATTTTCAAGGGTGCCTCGGGACTGTTCACAATTTTCAAGGGTGTCTCGGGACTGTCCATAATTTTCAAGGGTGTCTCGGGGCTGTCCATAATTTTGAAGGGTGTCTCGGGACTGCCCATAATTTTCAAGGGTGCCTCGGGACTGTTCATTATTTTCAAGGGTGTCTCGGGGCTGTCCATAATTTTCAAGGGTGCCTCGGGGCTGTCCATAATTTTCAACCTGCAGCAGTTTGAAAACATGACTCCCTTTGCCATGGAGCAGACCTTATTCTGATCTGTCTGGAAGCAGCTCTGTTTCTACTGTATACACCTAAAGCTGGAAAGCCCAATAAATAAGAGAAGAAGGAGGATGAAGAGGAGGAGGAGAGAAGTGCTGCCTGTGGACCAGGGGTGGACTGACCATTTGGCCATTCGGGTACTGCCTGAGGGCCCAGGGTCAGTAGGGGGCCCCATGAGATGCCCCTAGTACCTTTCATATGCTTTTTTGGGTATGGTTTGAATGTGGGTGAGGACACAGGGGCCCCATGATCCCCTGCTGTGGACCCAGTTTATGAGATGTCTCTATAGGTGACTAGTGACAGTGCAGTTCTGGCAGCCCCCAGCAGAGTGTGCAGTGCTTTGCTATCAGCCAGGAAGGCGAAGCTGGCGGAAGTTTGATCCGGCGGGGTCCCCGTAGCTCCGTGACATCACAGGGAGTCAGCTCCGAGTAGATCGTACACAGCTGGCAGAGTGCACAGAGCCGGAGGCCGGTAGAGGAGTGTGATCACACACAGGGGACACCCAGCTCAGGTGAGCGATCTGATCGCTGTGTGTGTCATCTAATCTGTCACCCGATCACGTCTCTCTTTAGAATCCACTGACACAAGACGAGAGGGATTGGACCAAAACAGGGGCAGTTGTGCGTGGTATCCAATCAGCTCCTAGCTTCCGCGTGTTCAGCTAAGCATTGAACGTGAAAGGTGGAATCTGATTGGTGTTCAGGCAGTCTTAGTAAACTCGGCGATCGGCTTACTTTGTGCCTGTCCTGATGGTCTGTGTGCTATAAGGGGGGGTTACTGGTTCTGCAGGACTTGTCCTGCCTTGGGGTGAAGTGTAAGGAGGCTGTAGTAGTGTGTCACCTAGGAGCTCTTCCTGCCACTCCTTCCACACACCATGGCTGGTGGTGATGGAGGTGACAGTGCTGAACCCCTTCATGATGGGGAGACCCCTGTGACAGGCAGTGTGGGAGCTCTGATCTCTCCATAGGAGTCTAGGTATGGAGGAGGAGGAGGGCTCATTTACATTGGAGGGATTGTTTACAGAGGACAATGATCCTGGGAGTGTTCACAAATGGTTTTGTAATGCCAGAACGCTGATGTCAGATGGGCGATTCCCCAGCCGCAGGATTGATTATAGGGGAACTAATCCCTGATTCCCAAAACAAGGACATTCAAGGCATGCTGTGACTGATAACTGTCACTTGTGCTCTCAGCTGAACTGTCACACCATCAAATGGCCGGGGTTGGAGCTGATCACATGTGCAGCACCATGGCAGGTCAGAGGCAAAGATGTCAGCTTCCTTGGCTGTAAAGCAGTGCTCTCCAAACTGCGGCCCTTTGCTTGCTTTTATCTGGCCCCTGGGACACTTATCCTCTCACTGACATCAACAACCGGGCACCCTCTCATTGACACCAACAATGAGGCACTTTTCCTCCCACTAATATCAATGATAGGGCACTATTCCTCCCACTGACACCGACGATGGGGCACTATTCCTCCCACTGACACCGACGATGGGGGCTATTCCTCCCACTGACACCGACGATGTGGGGCTATTCCTCCCACTGACACCGACGATGTGGGGCTATTCCTCCCACTGACACCGACGATGTGGGGCTATTCCTCCCACTGACACCGACGATGTGGGGCTATTCCTCCCACTGACACCGACGATGTGGGGCTATTCCTCCCACTGACACCGACGATGTGGGGCTATTCCTCCCACTGACACCGACGATGGGGGCTATTCCTCCCACTGACACCGACGATGTGGGGCTATTCCTCCCACTGACACCGACGATGTGGGGCTATTCCTCCCACTGACACCGACGATGTGGGGCTATTCCTCCCACTGACACCGACGATGTGGGGCTATTCCTCCCACTCCCACTGACACCTGACACCGACGATGTGGGCGCTATTCCTCCCACTGACACCGACGATGTGGGGCTATTCCTCCCACTGACACCGACGATGTGGGGCTATTCCTCCCACTGACACCGACGATGTGGGGCTATTCCTCCCACTGACACCGACGATGTGGGGCTATTCCTCCCACTGACACCGACGATGTGGGGCTATTCCTCCCACTGACACCGACGATGTGGGGCTATTCCTCCCACTGACACCGACGATGTGGGGCTATTCCTCCCACTGACACCGACGATGTGGGGCTATTCCTCCCACTGACACCGACGATGTGGGGCTATTCCTCCCACTGACACCGACGATGTGGGGCTATTCCTCCCACTGACACCGACGATGTGGGGCTATTCCTCCCACTGACACCGACGATGTGGGGCTATTCCTCCCACTGACACCGACGATGTGGGGCTATTCCTCCCACTGACACCGACGATGTGGGGCTATTCCTCCCACTGACACCGACGATGTGGGGCTATTCCTCCCACTGACACCGACGATGGGGGCTATTCCTCCCACTGACACCGACGATGTGGGGCTATTCCTCCCACTGACACCGACGATGTGGGGCTATTCCTCCCACTGACACCGACGATGTGGGCGCTATTCCTCCCACTGACACCGACGATGTGGGGCTATTCCTCCCAGTGACACACCGACGATGGGGCGCTATTCCTCCCAGTGACACCGACGATGGGGCGCTATTCCTCCCAGTGACACCGACGATGGGGCGCTATTCCTCCCAGTGACACCGACGATGGGGCGCTATTCCTCCCAGTGACACCGACGATGGGGCGCTATTCCTCCCAGTGACACCGACGATGGGGCGCTATTCCTCCCAGTGACACCGACGATGGGGCGCTATTCCTCCCAGTGACACCGACGATGGGGCGCTATTCCTCCCAGTGACACCGACGATGGGGCGCTATTCCTCCCAGTGACACCGACGATGGGGCGCTATTCCTCCCAGTGACACCGACGATGGGGCGCTATTCCTCCCAGACACCGACGATGGGGCGCTATTCCTCCCAGTGACACCGACGATGGGGCGCTATTCCTCCCACTGACACCAACGATGGGATGCTATTCCTTCCCCTAATACCAAAGATGCATTGTTTACTCCCACTGATGCCAGGACAATTTCTGATCCCGATGACCACAGTCCTGCCCCCCAATCACCTGAAGGATAGTAAACTGGCCCTTTGTTTAGAAAGTTTGCTGTAAAGGATAGGAGGGTTAAATCTACTGCCTGTCTGCCCTTATGGAATAACCCCCTGTGACAGACCCATCCAGGACAGGGGTTTGGAGGGGACTAGGGCTAGCCTTCTACTCGCTGATTATGGCCCATGGAGGAGACCGGGGATTTCATCTGCTTCTGCCAGTCAGAGCATGAGGAAGAGCTCAGTTCAGCCTCTGATCCTATGGAGCGAGCAAATCATTCTCTAATGATGGACAACATGATGATCACTGAGAGCGAGGCTTGGATCAATTCTCTGAATAAAGACTCCCTTCTGGACTGGATGGAAAGGAGTAATATTAAAGGATAAGTTCACCTTTTGGACTAAAATAATAAATGCACTTTTTTTGCAGGTAAAGAAATATGCATTCATTATTTTTTTCCAAAGGAGCCTGGAAAGCTTTTCACCAGCAGTCAGTAGATTGCTGATGCCATGCAGGTCTCCTGCAGACCTGTCAGAATATCTGCTTGCTGTATGGGATGTACGGTCAAGCAGATATTCTGACAGGAAGCTTGAATGAACTACCATGGCGCTCCACAGCACCGTGGTAATTCATTGAAAACTACAAGCCCACCGCCGCTAAGGCTGCCGGGACTTGTAGTTCATTCATTCTCTGAAGTTTGTGAATAAGTGAGGTAGCCATGTGGGCGGAACCCCATACGGCTGTGCTGTTTTCAAATCTGACAGATAGTACGGGGAGAAGTCTCCCCGTACTATCGGTCAGAGAGAAGGAGGTGGCGGCCATGGCTGCAGCTATGGTGCATGTTACTAAAAACGTGAGGAACATGTAACATGTTCCCAAAGGTGAACTTATCCTTTGATCTTCTACAGGTTAATGGTCAGAGGAAATATGGGGCCCTCCTGCAGACTGGGTTGGAGAAGCTCCTCCAGTTAGGATAGAAATATTTATCAACAATCTCCTTCAAGAAATCTATGAAGATAAATTAATTCCACTTTTCAGACTGTTGGAATATTGTATGAGTTTTGTCTTATGATGAACAGATTATACAACTAAAATCAAACACCTAAAAGACAGCATGTGTAATGGACTTTGTGTAATCAGGGGTGGGGGTGCCCTGCTGTCTGGGGTGGGCTCCCTGGCTGGCCTAGGTGTCTGGCTGTTGATTAGCTTACTGTTAATTAGATCACTGTTAGCTGTACTGTTTACCGTTTACACTGTTTAGGATAATGTGATCAAGCTCTTGCCTAATCAGTGTGGTATGTTTATCTCAATGTGTAATATTTGTTTTTTATTGTTCATGTGGGGACTGCCCCTATTTTTCTGAAGAGTATAAAAATCTGTATTTCTGTTCAATGAAGTTGTTCCAGTTGCATCCAAGCTAGTGTCATCTAGTCGTGGGTGCAATGCCCGGCTATTAGGGATGCACTGAAATTTTGGAGGGTGACCCATTTCGTCCGAAAACACCCCTTTCAGCCTTAGGCCGAAATGAAATAAAGCACCGATACAGGTGCCAAAAAAACCCTTGCCACCGCCCTTTGCCACCGCTCGGTAGTTCAGCCTTACCTGAGAAACCATTGATCTCAGCACTGGGCATAGAGATACATGAAGGAAAGATGGCTGCCACACATCTCTATGCCGTTGGAGGATTGGAGCGATGTCACTTCCCATTCCGGTCATTTTTTTTTTTTTTTATGCACTAGATTTTAATCTAATGATTTACATAGCAGAGGAGATATGTGGGGTCTTATTGACCCCATATCTCTCCATAAAGAGGACCTGTCACTAAATATTTCTATCACAAGTGATACATGCATTTCTTGTGAAAAGAATAAAAGTGATTAAATTTTTTTTAAAGGAACAGTGCAAAAAAAAAAAAAAAAAAATTAAATAAAAAAAAAAAAGAAGTTTAAAGTGCCCCCGTCCCCCCGTGCTCGCACATAGAGGTGAACGCATATGTAGGCCACTCCCACATATGTAAAACGGTGTTCAAACCAAAGTATAAATAAAGGTGCAGCGCTTATATGATCAACAGTATGAATCTAGCAGTCTTATAAAATGGAATCATGTGTAAGGTACACAAAATAAAAGTCCACATAAAAGGTCAGAAGTGAAGTATGATAATGAAGATATCAATTACAGGGGTGA